ATTAGGGGGTAGATGACAAGTTAACTGCTGTCTGCAAGGAGCCTAGTACGCCCAACACTACATAGCAGAGAGTCAAGCAGACCCCATGTTGCACCCCAGTCCTTGCCTAACCTTCCACAGAAGCTCCATGTCCTGAGTTTCACCTTTCTCAGCAGTACTAAGCCAGTATAAACTCCACCATTGATTTTTTTCACTCCAAACATTTTAAAGTGCTCATTTTGCAACATCTCCTCTCTCGGTCTTAATGTCTTTGTAAATATGAGCCCTTCTTATTCCTTTACTGTCATTTGTCATTTCAGTGTTTCCCCCAACCCAAAGGAAAGGAGATAAACATGGGGAATCAATTCACCTTGTTGACACAGATGCCCTCTGGGGTTCCAGTACTTTGCATGCAGTGGAGACTGTCCTGTGTCCTCACCACATCCTTGTTTGAGTCCCAAAGGAATGGCTACCCTTTCAGAAATATTGAAGAGAAAACTGCTCCCCTCTGCTGTATATCTGACTTTCTCTTTCCCAAGGCATGGGGAGTAAGTGTCCTAATGTGGGTTTTCCCAGAAGCACTCGGAGTGTATTTGGGGAGTAATGACAGGAGATTCTGCAGGGGGAGTGAGCAAGTGAGGCAAGGAAGGGAAGGACACCAACACAGAGTATTTAATGAGTGGGTTACCACTGTGGACCCAATTCCGTCAAGATCTCTTGGAGACCATGAAATACTCCCCCCCTCCAAAGAGGCAAAGGAACTGGGACACTGATTCTCTAGCTGACTTCAGTCGTTGGCTGATGGCTGCTCACCCAAAGATTCTGACCTGCCTGCAGACACAACAGAGAAAAAGCAGGAATTTGAACTCCTCTTCCTCAGGGTGCTGAGGAATGACCAGTACCAGAAACATATGGGTAGGGGTCCCATAGTGCATGCTGAAGTGAGATTCAGAAAACTGACCCTGGGCTTGCCTAGTGCATTCTCTTTCCAACAGCACATCCTGCTCTGGGATCAATGCATTCTCTTCTCCATGCACTTAGCCCAGGGGGGCAGATGCTGCCCTAAGCTAGGTGTGTACATTTGGTTCAGTAGCAGCAGGAAATAGTAAGTCCATTTTTGTTACACATCCAAGCTTTTTGCTCTCAAGGTCAGGTTTGGCCATAATAAAGTGGTATTTTTATCTCTAGCTGACTTCTGTGAAGACCTAATTGCTCAGGTTTGAAGAAGAGAGGGGAGCAATAATCTGGCCCTCTCTCAGAATCCAAATATCTGAGATTAATGTTCAATGAATTTGTCCCGGGACCTCCATAGAGATGACTCAACTTCTTGTTCCCTGTTCCCCCTTCAAGGGTGCTGTAGATTTCTGGGCTGACTCATTCTGGGTCAGCTGACCTAACAACAAGGGGCACTTGGGAATCCACTGGAAGTTTGGAACTGTGCTCATCACTGGGCAATGAGAATGCCTAATCATATCAATCTCCCACTTAAAACCTTCACAGCCTTCCTCTGCTCCTTATGAAAAGTTCAAAGTCCTGAGCAAGGTCCACAGAGCCCTGCCAATTTCTACTTTAACTCTCAGGTTTCCAGCAGGAAACAGACCATATACACCAATGGAGGGGACAAAGCCGGTTTAACAAAGGACCATGTGTCAAGGTGTGTGCAGGGTGAAGGAAAACTAACAAAGATGAGGAAGTGCGCAGGGATAGCATCTGCCAGAAGATGCTACCACCCCTTGGCCTGAATCTGTCACATGTAGGAGCAGTTACTAGAACCTAGGATGCAGATGAATGACATATAATAAACATAAATGTGTGTGTGTGAGCGTATGTATGGACATATGATACATACAGTTGCAAAAAATTCTTACAAATGTTTTGCCCCTACAAAATGTTTTCTCTGTGGACAATGGGAAAAAATAGAAAAACTCCAGTTACTGAAATTGTTGCAAATAATCAATATAATTCTAGGTCTGAGCTATGCAAGATGGAACGGAGGGTTAATCACAGTAAAGTTAAGTTAATTGAGGGAGGTTTTGTAGAGTAGGCTCTAGAGGAGGTAGCAGATGTAAACTTGCAGAGAAAGGCTGGGAGCCTGGAGGAGAAAAGGTCACTGACTCAGGCAGTGAACCTTCTTGCTACGTGGGGGCCAATCAGCACAAAAAGCCCTGCAAAAGCCCTACCTCTTTTTCACTAGTATTACTACTTTGGACTATTGGTAAAAGTTCTTCAGCTGAGGCTTCTGCGATTTTTCCCTGCAAACAACAATGGCAAAACATAGAAAGTAACCAATGCCCAGAGTGTCCCAGAGCCTGAGCTCTGAAGCAGACTGCCTGGGCTCAGATCCTGGATCCAATGCTTATTGGTTGTATGGCAGTGAGAATGTTATGGGGCCTCATTTTCCTCATCTGAATAAAGGGGTTAAGAGCACCACTTACCTCATGAGGCTGTTATAAGAATAAATAAGGATAAATAGGTAAGATAGATAGATAGATAGATAGATACTTAGCACACTGCTGGCACTCCTAATTCTCTGTAGATGTTAGTAATAACTAACGTAAAATACTTTTATTCTCCTGTACAAATTGAAAGCTGCACTAGGTTTTTAAAACTGCTTTAGTGAGGTATAACTGACATATAGTAAACTGTATATATTTAAAGTGTACCTTTTGAAAAGTTTTGACTTTTATGTATGCACCCATAAAAATATCATCACAATAAAAATAATGAGCATGCACATCACTTCTAAAAGTTTCTGTGTTTCTATGTGTCGCCCTCTCACCCCATGCCACTCTGCAACCCCACAGAAGCAATGATTTGCTTTTTATCATTATAGATTATATGTTGAGTCTATACATGGATCTTCTGTTCTGCTCCACTAATTTATTTGTTGACCTTGACATCATTACTACACTTGCCTTAATTACAAGAAATGTACAGTAAGTCTTGAAATCAGAAGTATTAGACCTACAACTTTGTTCTTTTTCCAAAGTTGTCTTAGATACCTAGGTCCTTTCCATTTCCATATGAATACTGGAATCAGTTTTTCAATTTCTATAAAAATTCCTCCTAAAATTTTGACAGGATTACATTAATAAATTTGGGAAGAATTAACCTCTCGGTAATATTGAGTCTTCAGAACCACGAACATGGGATATCAGAATATCTCTCCAATTATTTAAGTCTTATTACATTCTCTTATAAATATTTTATAGTTTTCAGTGTACATAGGTGTTAAACATCTTTTGTCAGATTTATCTCTAAGTATTTTGTACATTTGTACTATTGGAAATAATGTTTATTTCAATTTCTAGTTGTTCATTGCATATTAATTTTGCATATATTTAGCAACTTACCAAAGTACTTATTAGTTCTACTAAGTGTTTTGTAGATTCTAGATGATTACCTTCAAATAAAAAAATTTCTTCTTTTTAAACCTAGATGTCTTTTATTTCTTTTCTTGTCTTTTTGAACTGGCTTGAGTCTCCAGTATAATTTTGAATAGAAGTGATGAGAGGACATTCCTGCTTGGTTCCTGACCTTGGTGGACAGTATTCAGTCTTTTTACCATTAAGTATGATGTTAGCTATAGATTTTTCTAAAATAACCACTATCCAATTGAAGAAATTCTCTTTATCAATGTTTTTACACTATTTGATTATGATTATATGGTATATTTTTCTTCATGTTCCTTGTGTTAGCTATTTATGCAGCTTGTGACTGTGGGTTTATTGTTTTCACAAAATTTAGAAATTTTTAGTTACTACTTCAAATATTTTTTTGTTCCAACCTCTCTCTTCCTTTATTTATGGACTCCAATTACATACATATTAGGTACCTGAAGTTATCCCACAGCTCACTGACACACTAATCTTCTTTTAAATTCTCATTTCTATTTTAAGTTCACTCATCTTTTATTATTGCAAAGTCTAATCTGTGATTAATCTTCCAGCACCAAGGAAAAGTGCCTGGCCATTTTGAGTGCTCAGCCTCTGTACAGAGACTAAATCAGCACTTGAAATACAACAACTAACCAGCTACCAATTTGGTCCTTTTGTGGTTTGTGGGATAAAAATGCATTTTCCATAGAGACAATATGAAAATTGGAAGGATAAGCCAGGTGGCCTAGAAATAAGATAAATGTCCTCCCTCCTTCTCTCCAAGATTTTCTTCGTATCAGTTGATGGGCACGGGGAATGCTGTTTTGTCTAAGGTTGGAAACGACAAATGAAAGCAAGTTGTGCACTACACCTGCTCCCCTTGCTCGGCTGAGGAATGGGTTCTTGGCCCAGCTGGATGGAAAAGTCAGGGGCACCAGAAGCTGACGGAGCTGTGTAATGAAATGTGCCTTGGGAGTCTGGCTACACACAGTGCCGATGAAGGGCCAGGCTGACAATGTTAGGCCAGAGGTGAGCCCACTGACTGGTCCCCTTTGGCGTAGGTCCCTTTCTTTAGGCAAGGATGGCAGAAGCAACACAAGCAGAATACTATCAGTGTTACCCTCACAGCAGAAGAAGGAGGGGCTCCTGCTGAGGCCAGGCCAGGACAATGGAGCCAAGAGCTCTGCAGGGAGCTGTGGAGGACACCTCTCTAGTTTTATAGGGTCCAATTGGGTAGGAAGGAAAGTGCCACCTTGTTTGAGTATATGGATAGTGTGTAAGTCTCTTAAGAGAGTCTGAACTTTTTAACTGGCTTTAAGTGAGCATCTCTGTCCACCTGAGCCTCCTGAAATCAGGGAATGGGTGAAAAGGAAGGTAGAGAAGGGATGCCATTCTATTATGAGCTGTATTCCTAAAGATAGCAATGAGGCTCTAACACGTGTACTACAAACACACAGCCTCTTGTTTTCTCTGGGCTCACTGTCTCCCCAACCTTAGTGCCCCCAGTACTAGTTGAGCCTTTTTCGAATCAGACATTAGAACTTCTCAGATAACCCGAGCACCAGGACCACCCTCAAACCTGACCGCACAAGCAGTCCCTTGGACCACCCCATGCCCCAGGCATGGGTGAATGATCTCTGTTACCTGGATACTTTCCCGTTCCTTGCCCTCTGGAGTGACAGGTTCTTGTGGCTCCTTGACTATTTCCTGGGAATCCTGGCTGCTACTCTTGAGCTCAGCACCTTTGAGAGAAACAGAGTGGCATAAGGGCAGAAAACAGATGATAAATATCTGCAGAACCACAGAAAATTGGAAACAGCATAGTAATGTGTTTCTAAATTGGTCAAAAGAATTACACTGCAGAGGGTAGCACCATGAGGTGGGAAAGATAGGGTCTTCACAGCCCACCCCAATTCTCACCTCTCCATGTCCTCAGCCACATGATGGAGATAAAATGATGCCAGCAATGGGCCTGGGCCTGGCCTGGCAACCAGGAGGCTCTAGACCTCCGACAGTTGCTATGTGATCCTTTCATAGAAGCCCCCTTTGAAGTTTACACACAGCTGATTATCAGCTTCTTGGATGGCAGGCTTTGAAATGATTTTATGATAGAATGTGGAAATGACCACAATTAGCTATATTTGAATGTCAAAGATTAGCATAAGGGCTACTTTCCCTTTGAAAAGATTGTGAACATGCAGTCTGACAGTGGCCACTCTCCACTTTTCTGCTCTCTAAGCAAAAAGAACTGGAACTGAGCATTATTGGTTTAATATGCTCTAGAAAGCCAGTAATCAGGATAGTGTTCATGTATTTAACCTTCACTGAAAATAACAGTAGAAAAACGTTTTTCCAATTTTGTCTAAAAAGCTCTCCCCCCACCTTCTGCTTTCTTTCTTCTTTCTTTCTGTGGGTCTTCCTGCTTTTCTTCCTGTCAGACTCTCTTCCTATTGGTCTCTCTTCCTTTCTCCTTCTCTCTTCCTTCTCCCTCCCTCTCTCTCTGTCTTCAACTCTCTCTCCACTCGTTTTTTCTCTTCCCTTTTACCCCCCTATCTCCCTACTCCAGGTCTCTGCTCTGGCTCACCCTGTGTCTGCTCTGCTAGGGATTCTCAGCCATGACATCAGCCTTCAGCCTTTGGGCCTTAGCTCAGAGCAGCCCTAGGACACTCTGTCAAGGGACTGTCCCTCCCTGGAGTGCTGCCACAGATGCAGAAGAGACCCTGGCCCTGCTGGAGGCTCCAGAGTTGTTGCTGCCATCATGGGCCTGCTGCTCTGTCTTCTTCTTTCTAATTTTTCCAATAGCCACCTTAGATGCTGCAGGGCCAGAGGCAGCCTAGATCTTCTCTGCTTCCTCCTCTCCCACTGTTTTCTACTAGCACCAGCTGTGGCAACTGCCCCTGCACATGCCTCTCAACTCCAAGTCCCCAGATTACTCATACCCTATACCTGCTTCTAGCAAAGATGTAGGTGAATGAAAAAGAATGAAGTTCTAAGAGAAAAATCAGATGCCCAGGGAAGTGTGAGGGGCGCATAAGAGGAGATATATCATACTACACGTACAATGAGACAGAACTGCACCCAAACATTACAAGTAGCTTTTTGGTGGGGGAGAAACATGAGGGAGGAGTGAAGGACTTAGAAAAACCTCTTCTGAAGAAATACTTTGTCAGAGGGGAAGGCATTGGGGACTGGGTGAAAAGGGTTAAGGGATTAAAGAAAGAAAAAATAAGACTCATGGTCACAGACAGCAGAATGGTGATCATCGGAGGGAAGGCAAGGATAGAAAGAGGTAGAAGAGGGTAAAGGGAGGATAAATTGTGACAGAAGGAAACTTGACTTGGGGTGTTAAACACATAATACAATATACAGATGATGCATGTAGAATTCTATATCTGAAACCTATATAATTTTGTTAACTGTAACCCCAATAAATTCAATAAAAAATTAAAAATCAGGACGACTTCAGAAAAGATATAGACAGCAATACACTGATAGTAGGGCATTTTAACATCCCATTGTCAAAAAAGGACAGATCTTCCAAACAAAACATCAACAAGGATATTGTGGAACTGAATGACCCACTGAATCGAATGGACTTAACTGACATATATATAGAACCTTACAGCCCAAAGAAGCAAAATACACATACTTTTCAAATGCGCATGGTAGTTTTTCAAAGATAGGCCACATGACAGGACTCAAACAAGCCTCGGCAAATTGAGGAAAATTGAAATAATATCAAGCTTTTTCTCAGACCACAAGGGCTTGAAGCTGGAAATCAACCTCAAAGAGAAACTTCAAAAACTTGCAAACTCATAGAGACTGAACTGTAGATGATTAAACAATGAATGGGTCAATAATGAGATAAGAGAAGAAATCAAAAAGTTTCTGGAAACAAATGTAAATGAACCTACAACAGTCCAAAACCTGAATGGTCTAAATGGGCAACTGATATTTGACAAAGGGGGCAGAAGCATAAAACGGAGCAATAATAGCCTCTTCAAGAAATGCTGTTGGGAGAGCTGGACAGCTACATGCAAAAAATTGAAACTGGATCATCAGCTGACACCATACACAAAAATAAACTCAAGAGGGATAAAAGACTTAAATATAAGTCACAACACCATAAAAGTCCTAGAGGAGAACATTGGCAGGAAACTCTCAGATATCCCATGCCGCAATTTTTTCACCGATATGTCTCCTAAAGCAAGGGATATAAAGGAAGAATAAACAAGAGGGACCTCATCAAAATAAGAAGCTTCTGCACGGCGAAAGAAAACATCAGCAAAATGAAAAGGGAGCCACCCGTATGGGGAAATATATTTGCTAATGATATATCAGATAGAGGTTTGATCTCCAAAATATATAAAGAACTCACTCGACTCCACTCCAAGAAGACAAATGATCCAATCAACAAATGGGCAAAGGATCTGGGCAGATGCTTTTCCAAGGAGGAGATACAGAGGGCCCAGAGAAGTTCAGCATCACTAGCCATCAGAGAAATACAGATCAAAACCACAATGAGATATCACCTCACATGGGTAAGAATAGCCATCATAAACAGATCAGCAAACAACAGGCGCTGGCGAGGCTGTGGAGAAAAGGGTACCCTAGTGCACTGTTAGTGGGAATGCAGACTGGTGCAGCCATTGTGCAAAGCAGTGTGGAATTCCCTCAAAAAGCTGAAAATGGAACTGCCTTTTGATCCAGTGATTCCCCTGCTGGGACTATACCCTGAGAATCCCAAAATGCCAATTCAAAAGAACCTATGCACCCCAGTGTTCATAGCAGCACAATTTACAATAGCCAAGCGCTGTAAGCAACCTAAATGCCCATCACTAGATGAGTGGATCCAAAAATTATGGTACATTTACACAATGGAATACTACGCAGCAGAAAGAAAAAAAGAACTACTACACTTCGTGACAGCATGGATGGAACTAGAGAGCATTATGCTAAGCGAAATAAGCCTGGGGAGTAAAGACAAATACCATATGATCTCACTGATAAGTGGAACCTAACCAACAAAACAAAGATGCAAGGAAAATAAGACCAGCAACACTGAAAGGAATAGAAACCAACAGAGACCAGAGGGGAGTAGGGAGGGGTGGGGGGGGGGAAGGAAGGGAAGGGACAAGTCAAGGAACATACAGCAAGGATTCATGGACAAAACCAAAGTGGGGAAGGATTGAGAAAGGGAGTGGGAGGGAGCAGGGGAAAGTGGTGTGGGGAAGACAGAGACAAATATATTTGGAAAAATAAATAAATTAATTTAAAAATAAAATTAAAAAAATAGAAGATACTTTGTGGAAAATAAAATGTACCATGTCTCTAGTTTCTAAATATGTCCTGCTTCTCTCAAAACTTTCCAGATAGTCTACATGGGGTTTCTGGCATTCTCATGATGATAAGAGCAGCATGTTTTTTGGTTAAATTACTTTGTTTTTGAACTATAACATGCATATGGTAAAGTCTGAATTTATACATGTTTCTATTCCCATGTAACAACCAACCAAATGAAATCTAAAAGCATTCCTAGTACCCAGAAACTTCCTCTCTCATCCCCCTGCCCAACTAACACCTCTTAATGGTAGCCGTTCTTGTGACTTCTACTAACATTTATTTGTTTTGCTCAGCAGAAAACTTTCAAATTAAAAAAATATATATCAATAACTACTCTTAAGCTGCACTTTAGTTATTTTAAAGATAGTCTTTTTCTACTTTAAGTTTTAAATGTGAAGAGCTACAAAAAACAAAACTAAAAGAAAACTTGACCTTCACTGTATATATATTTCTTTAATAATTAGGATAAAATTACTAAGAAGTCAGAAATCTTAAACTATCGACAACTCAATCTAAAAAAACAAACTAAGCAAACAACCAGAACAGGAAGAGAATCATAGATATGGAGATCATTTGGAGAGTTATCAGCTGGGAGGGGGGAGGAGGAGAATGGAGGAAGAGGTACAGGGATTAAGAAGCATAATTATTAGGCACAAAATAAACAAGGGGGTGTTAAGAATAGTACATGAAATGGAGAAGCCAAAGAACGTATATGCATGACTCATGGACATAAACTAAGGGGGGGTGGGATTGTTGAAAGGAAGTGGGTTACTGGGCAGAAGGGGGCAAAGGGGGAAAATTGGGACAACTGTAATAGCATAATCAATAAAATATATTTTCAAAACAGACTGGATTAGATTTACAATGAACTAATAATACTGGTGCCTTCACTTCTTGACAATCTAATGCTCGTGAGACAATTACCAAACTACAACTACTGACTGTCTTGGCTAAACTGTCATGGGGTGTTACACTTTATTATTAAGCAGCTGCCATGCTCATCCCCAGAGGAGGCTGCATTTCAGAACTGGGAGAGGTGATGCTACATCTCTCTTTCCCACGTCTCTGAGGTTTTGTGAGGTTTACTTACTTAATTTCCACAATGTGCTCTGAGATCTTCACATGTGAGGTGCTATCCCAAGGAAAAGTCGAAGCAGTGATTTTACGTAACACAAAACCAAAATTATGATTGGTGCTGCAAATTTAATTTTTTTTATTATATATCATTTATATAGCTTAGAAGTGATGAACTAGTGCTTTATTCTAGTGAGAGTGAAGGCAAAATTTACTAGAACTTTTAAAGTGAGACTGCTTATCTGAAGTTGGTTTACTGCAAAGCTAATAAAACCAAAGGTTCAGTCACCTCCCTAGTATAGGCCCTATCCATGGCAAGCTACTA